ATATATATATATATATATTCATTTGTAGCATTAACACACATTAAATTATGTACTGCTAATGGACAATTAGTGTACATTGAAGTTGTTTAAAATGTCATGATTATACAATAATGATTTTAATGATTAGTGTAAAGTGTTGCCAATTATTCATCTGTGATAATGATGATGCTGATGTGTTGAGTAAATATTGTATGAGAGTTTAATGATCTGTGCTATCATCTGCAGCGATGTACTGCAGCACCCCAGACTCTCCGCAGCATGGTTTTGTGGTCAGCCAGACGGGCGGCCACGTCAACAGCGTCGTCCGCTGGGCCTGTGACCGCGGCTACAGGCTCATCGGGAAAAATATGGCCGTCTGCAGGAGAACTGAGTTCGGTTATCTGGCCTGGGACTCATCTGTGCCCGCATGTCAAGGTGTGTTGTCTTTATTATATTTTTCTTGAATCTGCAAAATGTGCATTTCCTTGAGTTGACTGCCAAGACTAATTTAACTGACAATCAATCACTTGTGCTCAGGTATTGTTTGATTTAACCTTCACTGGCAAAACTCACAGCTCCGTGTTGTACTTTTTAACATTTTTGTGCTGCATCAAGGACATTATATTTTATGCATATATAATATAGGCCTATATATAATTGTTGTTTTGTTTTCCTATAACAAATATTAGAACAGCAGAAATGCTGTCAGGGGAAAAAAGCCCAAAGGGGCATGTTCAATTACCTTCACTCGAATCAAAAATAAACCGCAACTTGAAAATAATAAAAAAAGAGAGCAAAACAAAATAATAAAGGGTAAATGGGTTACCGAGAAAGGATATTAATTTTGAGCAGATTTTATCACTATGAAAAAATGAAGGAACAGACAGATAGCAGGACCTCATTGTGTTATAATTCTGGAAACAGTTTAAACCATTTAAACAGATAAATTGACATTTTTTTTTTAGGTTTTGAATTTGTAGTTTTTGAAGCAGTGGGCTGGTGCTTGCTAGATAAGAGATTGCCAAGTCAGTATCAATATAATAAGTATAAATTTAAAAAAATGAAATTACAAACATGAGTAGATAACATAAATTTATATTCTGGGTGAACTATTTTCCTAAGTTTTGTATATTTAGGTAATTAATTCTTCTGAAGACACTAATATTCTCAGCTGTTTTTGGTTTTGTTGACATTCATTAGCGAGTATCAAGGAAACAACTGCATTACTAGAATATTTGATACGCTTCTTTCCAGATGTGGCATTTTGTGTTCATTATGAATGTTGAGTGAGATTGAATTATTGTGCAAAGGCAGGCCGTGTCAGATGCCAGCATCACTGATCAATCGTCTCTTTGTTTTCTGCTAATTAATACGGCTGAATGAGGTTTGCTTTCTGCTTAGGTTTTATTCGCATTAATACGAGCGCTGTTGTTTGGTTGGATTTATTTGATTAGAATTTTAGCACTCAGTAATTGGACAACCTATTATGTTTCATCACTGTATTGATTCCGCTTTGAGCAATCTCCAGTGTTTAAATACACATTTTGGTCATGCTGGTTAATTACAGTCTTGTTTGCTTGCACATGACCATGTTTAGGCCTTCTATTCCACATGTGGACTTGATGAGGTCAAATACGGTGACGAGTCATTCCTGCTATGCTAACTGTTCAAATTAATGTGTTGTTGTTGTAATTTAAGGAAGCATTTTTGTAAAAGCATGAATTTTATTAGTTAGCTTTATTAATAATAACTTGGTTATTTAGAAAATTTCAAGATGAATGCAAATGAAGAGCTAAAGTGAGGGACTGTCAGTTAGTTTACATGCAGACGTTTTGAAGTAAATTGTGATATTTACCTTTTGAAATGTTCGTTTTCTGTGATTTTATCAAACATTGGATGTTTTAGAGTGACATAAACCTACTAACATCACAACATTCAACAAATCCTCTGCTAATATTTACTAATGTTTCTTTTCCCTCCAAAATGATGCTGCTTCCTGTCATTAAAGGGGTGGTTGATTGCGATTTCACTTTTTTAACGTTAGTTAGTGTGTAATGTTGCTGTTTGAGCATAAACAATATCTGCAAAGTTACGAAGCTGAAAGTTCAATGCAAACGGAGATATCATCTTTTAAAATTTTGGCAGTTTAATGCCTACAAAAACGGCTGGTAGGGACTACAACAAGTTACTTCCCGGGTTCGTGACATCACAAACCCAGATAAACCCCGCCCTCGGGAAAAGGCAGCAAAGGGGGCGGGGCCATGCTGCGCTGCTTTAGAGAAGAGGAAGAGAAAACTAGGGGTGCATGTAAAAATCTATTCATATATGAATCGTGATTCTGTCTTCTACCGATTCTAATTATAACGATTCTAGTTATACCCTGTGTAAACAAAGACACTATGCAGTAACATTAGCAAGCATTTTCAGCAGGACGAAAAATCACAACATGAGGGTTAATTCTACATATATTCCACATTCTACATATATTCTAAAATTCTACAAATTAGATATTTCTATTTCTAAACTGGCTTAAACTAACTGTATCTTATACTTACTCTCTAATTGTATTATTATTTGTCTTGTTGTTGCATTTATTTGAACAATGGAAGCATTATTACCTTGTGTGCAAGCACACATTCGGCAATCAAGCTCTTTCTGATTCTAATATGTGTATATATGTATAATTTGGGGTGGACAGAACTGAAGAAGGATTGGACAAAAATTGGGAAATAAGTCTTAACGTATTCACTGTCCTTGAGAGATCTGTTCTTCAGATTTCAAGTAAACTGTATTATATAAGTCTTGGGGGGAAATAACAGGTTATTATACATTCACATGATTTACATTTGCAGCTTCACCGTCTTTGTTTTCTCTTTAAATCCATACTTTGGATTTTCGTTTATCTGCGAGGCGTGTAATGCAAGCCACGTATTTCCACTCTGAAGGCAGCACAGCATATATAACACGACAAGTGCATTTACAAAACGTTCTTAGTGCTGGAACTTGATTTTCAAGCACGTTTAAAGAAATGTGATGCAGTGTTTTGCAGAAGTTCCAGAACTGCTAACATAAAGAGAATCCAGTTTGTTTTTTGGTGGGATCAGTTCTAAATAGGAATTGATTGTTAATTCCCAACTCCTCTGTATGCTGTTTTTCATGCAAAACTTGCAGGAAGGTGAACTAATTTCATGTTCTTTGTTGAGGTTTTGATGCATAGTGAGTCTCATCTCATTGTCTTTTCTAGCTGTGTCCTGTGGGCCGCCCGTGGCCCCTGTGAACGGAGGCATGCTGGCCGCTGATTATTCAGCAGGAACACGAGCCACCTACTTCTGCAACGATGGCTTCCGTCTGTCCTCTAAAGAGGTGGCCAGCACCGTGTGTCAGGCTGACGGCACGTGGAGCAACCACAATAAAATCCCACGCTGCACCGGTGAGACAGACGTCCTGGTTTCCAATCATCAAAACATTTAAGGGTTTAAATGTTTGTATTGATTATGTCAGTGTGCTATATTAAAGACCCTCATGAAATCAAAATAGAGATTTTTTTTAAAGAAATTCATGTTTTTATTCAGCAATGATGCATTCAATTGATCAAAAGTAAAGATATCTATAATGATGCAAAATGTTTATTTCAAATCAATTCTGTTCTTTTGAACTCATCAAAGAATCCTGAAAAAAAATGTATCATGGTTTCCACAAAAATGTTAATCACCACAACTGTTTTCAACAATAATAAAAATCCGAAATGTTTCTTGAGCAGCAAATCAGCATATTAGAATGATTTCTGAAGGATCATGTGACACTGAACACTGGAGTAATGATGCTGAAAATTCAGATTTGCATCATAGGAATAAATTACATCAGTAGAAATCAGTTATTTGAAATTGCAATAATATTTTGGAATTTTACTGTCTTTACTGTATTTTTCATCAAATAAATGCAGCCTTGGTGAGCTTAAGAGACTTTATTTAAAAAATCTTGCTGACCCCAAACTTAAGGGGGATAGTTCACCCAAAAATGAAAATTTATAATCATTTGTTCTCCCTCAACCTGTATGAATTTCCTTCAGTTGTTAAACACAAAAAAATATTGGACGTGACCTAGGGTGAGCACAAATGAAGATAGTTTGAAGAATGTTGGTAACAAAACAGTTGACGGTAGCCATTGACTTCCATAGTATGGAAAACATTACTGTAGAAGTCAATGGCTACCGTCAACTATTTGGTTACCAACATTCTTCAAACTATCTTCATTTGTGTTCAGCAAAGGAAAGAAACTCATGCAGGTTTGGAACAAATGGAGGGTAAGTAAATGATGTCAGATTTTTCGTTTTCCCCTTAACGGGTACAGTGCCAAAAAAAGGCTCAGATAGAGGGTGCAAAATTGTTGTGTAAAGGTAAATTGCATTTGTAAGTGTCATACAAACATTTTAACCATGCTGCTGATTTCCTCTCAGTTGTGGTGTGTCCCAGCATCGGCTCCTTCACCCTGGATCACGGCAAATGGAGGATCGTCAATGGCTCTCGTTACGAATACGGCACTAAAGTGGCCTTTACTTGCAACACTGGCTATTACCGGCTCGGCCCCGCCCACATTCACTGTACGTCCAATGGGACGTGGAGCTGGAGGAACGAGCGACCTCGCTGCAAGAGTGAGTTATGCGCTCCATTTGTTACTCAAACATTAATGCTGTACATATCATGACACGCACAATTCCCAGGCCTTGTTAGTCTGGCCGGTTTTTAAGGTCAGAACTGAGCAGACAGCAAGACTAATGATTTTGTCAATTGTGTCCTGAAGTGTGAAAGATTAGCAGCTTGTGCGGTGCTTTACTGGATACACAGAATCCGGGGGCGTTTTCTGCAATTTTCCTTGCGGATTTCTGTGCACAATTGTGCAGAAAGGTTTTTTAATATTAAAGCATGGCATAAGCAAATTAATATTAGTCATATATTTTTTTTTAAGTTTTAATTGAGAATGTTGACTGTTCAGTTAGTTACATGCATTTTGTTTACTGTTGGCTGTAACAGCTTGCCAGAAAATACTACTCATTTAGTGGGTTCATGAGGCTGAGAGACTTTTCCCATAATTAACATAAAACATTTAATAAAACATTTAAAAATAAAAAATTAAATACTTTAAAATAAAACATTTCCCATAATTCTCAGTGGCTGCACGAACATGAGAAAATGCATATAGCATCATTAAGTTTCCATCCACAGATTTTTATTTTGGAATCAAATCAAATATGCTAGATGCAAATGTAAATAATATGCGCTTTTTTTTTTTGGCAAAGTGCACATAGACTTGTGTATAAATTTTGCATGCACCATTAAGTTGCAAGTAATTTATTACATTTAGTGGCTTCTTCAATGGCTTCTGATTCCATTTCCATTATTATTTTCCAGCAATTTTTCAGAATGTGATGTTTTTGTTGGAAATGTTTCTTTAATTGTTTTTATAATATGCTATTTTTATATTAAGTAAATTCAAAGCACTTAAATAGAAGCAATTACACAAATAACTTACTTTTTTTGCACTTTTGTCATGGATTTGTTATGGATTTGTCAGGACATGACAAAAAAAATAAGGAAAGATTAAATTGTCCTAAACCTCCTTTGTATTTTGCAGTTATGTCTTATAAAGTCTCCTGGGAAACGACTACTTATGATTTCATATGGCGACATCACAATAATGAAACACATTTGGCACTGTATATTTTCCTCTATAAAGGCTGTTTAATGGAATAGTTCACCCAAAAATGACAATTTGCTGAAAATGTACTCATCTTCACGCCATCCATGAGTTTGTTTCTTCATTGGAGCAGATTTGGAGAAATTTAGCATTACATCACATGCTCACTAATGGATCCTCTGCAGTGAATGGGTGCCGTCAGAATGAGAGTCCAAACAGCTGATAAAAACATCACAATAATCCACACCACACCACAGGACTCGCATTTTACCCAGATGCAACGGTTTGAAGTTAAAATGCCTTAATGATGTATTAGTTTCTTACAAACACAGTTTTTTACTTCATAAGACATAACTGATGGACTGGAGTGGTGTGGATTATTGTGATGTTTTTATCAGCTGTTTGGACTCTCATTCTGACGGCACCCATTCACTGCAGAGGATCCATTAGTGAGCAAGTGATGTACTGTAATGCTTAATTTCTCCAAATCTGTTCTGATGAAGAAACAAACGCCATCTACATTTTGGATGGCCTGAGTGCGAGTAAATTTCCAGCATATTTAAATTTTTGGATGAACTATTCCTTTAACATGCAATTTAAAAAACTGCTGAATGAGCTACAGTAGGAATCCCGAGTAAATCCAGTTGTTTTGTTACTATCGCAGTCCTTCATCGGCAGGTGCCGTCCTCAGATGGTTGAGTTATCAGTGTTGTGCGTCTGCTGTAACTACAGACGTGATGAATGTGTTTATGGCTCCCATATGAGAGGCACAATCTAAACATTAGAGGCGCTTTATGACCGATGGCGTCTGACAGGATCCTGCACCCTGGCGAGAAGACTGCTGCGTCAATTTTCAAAAACAACAACAATCAGAGTGAAGATGATAAGTTGATAGCAGATGAAATGATGATGCCGCTGTGGTTTTCCTGTACCAGTAAACGCTCCTGAACAGTGTATCACATATATATAATACATCCCTGATATCCTCTCAGCTCAGACTACTTTGAAATTGTTCCTTCCCAAGACACAAACTACTCTTACAACCACTTTTAAAGTAGTAGTTAGCTATTACTGGCTAGTTACATTGAATCAGTTTAAGTGGCAGTATCTTTTTTAAATTTCTGTACGTTTCTGTAACATTTTTATCATAAAAAGTGATCATAGATTACTTCTACTTTTAGTTAACTACTTGTTGAGATAGTTTTCTAATTTTGGTCTGCATTTCTTCTCTAGTGTTCAAATGTCTAAACAGTCAAGCTACACTTTCAAAGGAAAAGTTAGCTTTTACTAAAGCAGTTTAAGAGCTGCATCTTTTTTCAATTTAACAATCAGATCTTCTATGTTTCTGTAACGTTTTCATCTTAAAAATAGTCCAATTTAGTTAAAGGATTAGTTCACTTCCAGAATAAAAAACTCCTGATAATTTACTCACCTCCATGCGATCCAAGATGTTCATGTCTTTCTTTCTTCAGTCGAAAAGAAATTAAGGTTTTTGATGAAAACTTTCCAGGATTTTTCTCCATATAGGAGATATACTTCAATGGGAACAGTCCAAAGGTCCAAGTTTCAATGCAGCTTAAAAGGGCTCTACATGATCCCAACTAAGGAATAAGGGTCTTATCTAGAAAAACAATTGGTCGTTTTCCCCCCCAAAAAATTATAAACTTTTTAACCACAAATGCTCATCTTGCACTAGCTCTGCAATGCGCACGCGCGACTTCACACATTGCGTAATCCCTTTCAAAAAGTCACGCGTCACGTGTGGTTAGTTTTTTTTGTCTGTGTGCTTCGGTTCAGAAAGGCAGGGTAGAGTGAAAAACTCCATCTCGGTTTCTCCTCCAACTTCAAAATCGTCCGACATTGTTGTTTTACCTTTTTTTGTAAGAGCGTGAAGTCAAGTTAGTGCAAGATGAGCATTTGTGTTTAAAAAGTATATAATTTTTGTATTTTTTTAGAAAATGATTGATCGTTTCGTTAGATGGGATCGTGTAGAGTCCTTTGAAGCTGCATTGAAACTTCAATTTGGACCTTCAACCCTTTGGCTCCCATTAAAGTCCACTATATGGAGAAAAATCCTGGAATGTTTTCCTCAAAAACCTTAATTTCTTTTCGACTGAAGAAAGAAAGACATGAATATCTTGGATGACATGGGGGTGAGTAAATTATCCAGAAATTTTTATTCTGAATGAATCCTTTAATTAGCTTGCTACTAAACTTGCTACTAAATTCCTCAAATGCAACTCTTGAGTATTGAAGCTTTAAACCTGCTAAATGTTTTTAAAACTCCATTCAGAAGTCAATTCTTCCTGAGATATGTTCCTCATTTTTGTGCATTTCATCTGTGGTGGTTTTTTCTCCCCCAGAGGTGTAAATCCACAGTGAAAATGTGAATCCATGAACAGTTAAGCTATTCTTTTGAAGTAATAGTTAGCTTTTACTAGCTAGTTAAGTTGAAGCAGTTAAAGGGAAAGTATCTTTTTAAATTTAACAATCAGATTTATGTTTCTATAACTTAATTGTAAAATGTGATCAAATATAGACGCTTGCTTCTACTTTTAGTTATATAGCTATTTGCTACTAAATTCCTCAAATGTAACTGACTTTTGAAGCTGTAAACTTGGTAAACGCAGTCAAGCTACACCATTGAGGAAGGAATAGTTAGCTTTTACTAGTTAGTTGAAGAAGTTTAAGGGAAAGTATCTTTTTAAATTGGTAACACTTTAGTATAGGGACCAATTCTCACTATTAACTAGTTGCTTATTTGCAAGCCTATTATTAACATATTGGATGTTTATTAGTACTTATAAGGCACACATTCTGCATGACCATATTCTACATCCCTAATCCTACCCAATACCTCAACTTAATAACTACCTCAGCTTGCAACTTTAAGTATTGAAGTGAACCAAGTAAACATTTTAAAACTGCAATTTATCCATTCAGAAATCAGTTCTTCTAATATATATTCTAGACATTTTCCTCATTTTGGTCTGCATTTCTTCTGGTTTTTGTTTATCAGGGGTGTAAATCACAGTCCTACGAGTTGTCTTTAAGGTGTGTGTCGATTCATTCTGTTCTCTATTGCCTTTCACTGCAGTCATTTCGTGTGGAGAGCTGCCCACACCTCCTAATGGAAAGAAAATTGGAACGCAGACAACCTTTGGAGCATCCGCTATTTTTACCTGCAACTCGGGCTACATTCTGGTGGGCTCGACTGTACGGGAATGTCTGGCATCGGGTCTCTGGAGCGGGACGGAGACACACTGTCTCGGTAACACCAGAAACCTTCTCTCTTTCAAAACATCACCACACATTACCATCCTTATAACCTTTTAATGGAGACCGGGTCCTGAAAGGCCATATGAGGAGTTCTGTGACATTTAGTCTGGATTTCCATAGCAACAGTGGTTTTAATTTTTTTGCTTGTACTGTATGCAGCACCTGTATCGTCACATACAGATAAAAGCTCTGGTATAAAGCCTAGTGAACTGCCTATGTAGGTACAGAAGCGTCATTATTATTCCTTCTTAGATACAGTCTTTTGACCTTGATGGAGAACGCAGTCCCATACACTCTTAAAAATAAAGGTGCTTCACGATGCCATAGAAGAACCTTTTTGTCTAAATGGTTCCATAAAGAACCTTTAACATCTGAAGAACCTTTCTGTTTGACAAAAGGTTCTTTGTGGCGAAAGAAGGTTCTTCAGATTACAAAAATGTAAGAAAGAGATGGTTCTTTAAAGAACCTTTGACTGAATGGTTCTTTGTGGAACCAAAAATGGTTCTTCTATGGCATCGCTTGAAGAACCTTTTGAAGCACCTTTATTTTTAAGAGTGTAATACACTATGGTCTTTCTCAGTGGAAAAATATCCATCTAAGATGATGGAAAAGATGAGAGAATTAAACAAATGTCATTTAATATTTATAAGTATCTTTTATTCAAAAAGTGTCATTAAATTTACATGCATTTTATGCTTTCGGCACATGCTTGTATCCAAAGAGACCTACATTAAATTCAAGCTATACGTCTTTTGAGTTCCTGCGTTCCCTTATTAAATGGTATAATGTTAATACACCAATCTACTTTAACTACCAAAATCTGCTTTTTACCTTAAAATAGCCACACAGCCACTATAATAGATGGTATAGAGGTATAGATGGTGCACAAGGTCATACACACAAAACCAGTTATGCAATAAACATTAAATTAAATTTAACGCAAAAACACCTTAAAATACAATGCTGATAATAAAAATAAAAAGGAGCAAGACTATTTAAATAAAAAAATATGAATATGTGGTTACACATGGAATTTTTCAATGTAAATTATACAGTAAGTCAGTATTTCACCATAAATTTGACAGCATTTTACTTAATTAAAAAAGCATTTTATTTTAAGTTACATAAAATGTGTGCATAGAAATTTCATTTTTCTTCTCTTAATGCTGTATGGTAAGGTAACTTACTGTTTAATTAACAAGTTTGTACTGTAGCATATTTACAGGTCTTTTTCTTTAAACATTTTTTACAGAGCATTTTTTTTGACAATTCTAAGACAGCATCCTGGATGAAAGCAATCCCATAATGCATTGTGGTGTTTCTCAGTGGAAAAAAGTCCATCTAAGGTAGTGGATATTGTCAGAGAAATAAAAACAAGTGTAATTTGTTATTTATTACCTATAAATATCATATATTCAATACTAAAACCTGTCATTAAAATTTTAACTAACATGCATTTTACTGTATGCAATTATGATTTTATCCAAAGCAACTTGTAATAAAACTATACGTGTTTTCAGTTCATGCATTCCCTGAGAATCGAATCCGTAACCTTGACGTTGCTAATGAATCTAATTATATCTAATGAAATATGTACTATTTTACTCTGTGTGTGTGTGCTTTTGTACTTATTAGAGTTTCTCTGGGCTACCTTAGCAACATGCTATTGTTGTAGCTGTTCAACAAATTCTATCCAGCTTATTTTTTACGTAAGCGCGGGCGCCGCCATTTTCGAACTATAATGTGTCAGATTTCCGGTAAAGCACTTCCGCTAATAGTAGTTGTATTGTGATTCCGTAGTTTTGCATCGACTGTTAACTTTTAATATGGGCTACAGAAAGACTGGCATACTTGCAGTTAGGGGGTGTCATAATAGCGGTTCAAGCATAAAAAATACCTGCAAGTAGAGCTGCACGATTAATCGAAATTAAATCGCAAAGGCGATAAATCGTGATTAGGCACGCGCGATTAAATCGTCTGCGATTATGAATGCGATTTTGCGTGGCTTGTCAGTGAACTATGGCTCTGTGTAGTAAACGCTGCTCCATCTGAAAGCATGTAATGGAGATTTACTACTAATCACAGAACCGGCTTTACTGACAAGATGCGCATGACAATCACATTCGATTAATCGTCCAGCCCTACCTGCAAGACATTTGTTTTGACCATAATCCACGCACCAGAGCTGAATGCGGATATGGGGGCACCCTATGATTTGCACGCTCCTCCGAAATGTGAAGAAGCTGCCTATGTAGAATGTTCAATCAGGTTCTATTTCAGTTAAAATGCAACCTTAAAAGGAAGCTTGTCTATGTAGACAGTATACTAGGTTTTGGGACAAGCCAAAATCTTTTGTGGAAGATTTTCCGTTGTGTTTGCACAGATTGCATGAGTGTCTTTGTGTAAGAGAATAATTTCTGGTCTGAACCGTGCAAGGGAAAATGAAGTGAGAGAACACTGTGGAGGGACACAGGTGAAGAAATGATTTCTGCAGTAGTTCAGCGGACTCGGTGCTCTGTGAAGTGTGCCGGCCAGAAAAAAAACAGCTTTCCATTTGCCGTCATTGCTCTCATCACATCATCTCTGAGTAAAACAATGTTGTGCATTACTGTGTCCACCGAAAGAGTCTTTAAATCCGCTGTGTTGATCCTCGGATGCATCGATATCGCAGTATCTGTTGTGGGATTGAACACTCATTGTCTGTGGGTGGATTGTGAATATCTCTATTCACCACACCACACAATGTGATTTACTCGAGTAGGACATGGTCCTGCAGTAATATTCCCGTCAAATCACAGGCTGAACTAGGCATGGGGAATTTTCTCAAATAGAAAGATTATGGTTGTGAATCGGATTCCACTTAACTCCAAATTCCTAATTATCCATAAGTGGATTCTTCAGGGCATTTTTGAAAAACAAAGCAGGAACATAGTTTGGAAGATAGTTTTTATTGCTTTTATTACCCTCAGCAATAAAATCAAGTAATGAATTAAGTAAATAGTCAGTGAAAAAAAAAGAAAACTGTGAAACAATTTCCAAGCAATAAAACAAATGAAAACAATAGACCAAAGATAGAAACTAAGTAAATAAAGTGCTTAAAGTATTTCAGATATCAACAGCAGTGTTAAATTGTAAATAGACAAGCTCATTTAAAATGATTATAATTGTTGTATGTTTTGTATATGATAGATCGATCGATCGATTGATTGATTGATTGATTGATTGATTCTGTCCATAATATTTAAAACTTTTAGAGACTGCATACATTTGATCAAAAAAACTGTAAAATTGTGAAATATATTATCATTTAACTGTTCTCTGTTTGAATATTTGTTAAACATGATCATTCAGAAATCATTGTAATATGCTGATTTATATATATATATATATATATATATATTCAAAAGCATTTATTTAAAAAATGAAATCTTATGTAACGTTATTAATGACTTTACTGCCACTTTTCATCATTTTAATGCACCCTTGCTGAATAAAAGTATTAATTTCTTTCAAAAAATAGCCCAGACCTTTGTGTAGATAGCCCTAAAATCTGAATGGTTGAATGCAATGTTGTTTAAGTTGATGCCGTGACATGTCTGTCTTCTGTTAATCATGTTATGCATTAAGAACCATGTTGTAGTATATTCTAAAAAAATATTCTCAATGTTTTTCCCCCAGCTGGCCACTGCGGTGCTCCGGAAAGCATCGTGAACGGTCAGGCGATCGGTGAAAACTTCGGCTACAGGGATACAGTAGTTTACCAGTGCAATCCGGGTTTCCGGCTCATCGGTTCCTCTGTGCGCATCTGTCAGCAGGATCACAACTGGTCCGGGCTGCTGCCATCCTGCGTGTGTGAGTTCTCTCCACAGCACATGAGTAATACGCGTCGGGGGAAGTTTGGTTTGCATCCAAGAGGATTAGTTTGACATGTAATGCAGGCAAACCCCCTATTCAGCCCATGACAGGCATCAAACACAAATCCTGACGTTACCAATGAAACACTTGATGAGGGAAAACACCAACACCACCTGATTTTGTGTTGGTGATTTGGATGTTTGCCTCGTTTTATTTGTGATTGCCGGAACGCAAAGCTGCTTAGATAAATGCTTACATACAAGTTGCATTTTAATTTTTCTTGTCAAGCATTGGAGATTCATATTCTACAAATTGATGGAAATATGCCAGTATGCAAAAGGAAGGACACAACAGACTGAATTATCATCATAAAAATCTTTTTGATATAGAAACATGCTTGAAATTAAAACACAATTATAAATGGTGATTTTATAGCAATTTCTTACAAAGATACCATTTTCAAAATGTATTTATTCATTAATTTATTAATTTTTTATATTTATTTATTTTAATTTTATTAATTTTTTATTCATTTATTTTGAGTGAGTGTCGAAGGAAAATTTAAAAAAAGAGACTTTTTATTTGTTTCACCCTTTTCCTACATGTTTCCCAAACTTCTATTTGTGAATTTTGAAGCAGTGTTTCCAGTGCCATGGCCAAAGAATATATTAACCGAATATGAATCTGCCGTATGAACTGACAAGAAAACGTGGCAGGTTACTCTTTTGAACATTTTCTTTAGTAAATAAGCATACAGTGCGACCAGGGTAGTCTGATTGCAAATTGTATGAGTCAATTCTTTGTAGTGAATCAAAGACATACGGCACGTCCAGTGTGGTCCAATTCACGATCAACGACTCTTTTGAGTGGTTCTTTTTAGTGAATCAAAAGTATGCAGTGAGAAAATACATTCCAATTCGCAATCAACTGACTTTTTGAACGGTTCTTTTTAGTACATAAATAAAAGTGATGCAATGCAAGCAGTGCAGTCCAGTTCACAAACAAATTACTCTTTTTGAATGGTTCTTTTTAGTAAATCGAAGACTTACAGCATTCCAGTTTAGTCCAATTCAAACGACTTTTACGAGTGGTTCTTTTTAGTGAATCAAAAGCATGCAGCGTAAACATTGCAGCCCAATGCACAAACAAATGATTCTTATGAACCAGCTCTTTTGAGTGAATCAATTCAATAGACACACAAAATCACTTTATGACTGGTTTACATCAGTGTGACAAATCCTTGACTGAATGAACTCGCTGAATTTTTCTATTGACTTATTTACTGCTTTCAGTGATATCTTCAAATTAAGAAAATTTTATGTACTTCAGCTTCAAGTAAATCAATATGACTGATTGTTCATATGACGGCTGGATTTAAAGATAAACATTTGCATTTTTTCTAGATTTTTTTTTTAACGTAAAAGCATTAAAATACACTAAAATGTTGCAGTGTGTTTTACAAGAAAATACTAGTTGAGTTTTTCTACTTTCAAAACTTAGCAGCAATTTCTGAGTGAAAATTGTAGTAATTCAGTGTAGTATTATTAAAGCTTGAGCTGGTGTATTCAAACTTTTGACTGGTAGGTAACAGTAATTTTCCTCCTTTGCGTTTCAGCCGTTAGCTGCGGTCATCCGGGCAGCCCTATCTACGGCCGCACTGTTGGCGACGGCTTCAACCTGAACGACGTGGTGACCTTCTTCTGTAATAACGGCTACATTCTGGAAGGCCCGTCTCAAGCGCAGTGCCAGGCGGACCGCCAATGGAGCCAGCAGCCGCCCACATGCCGAGGTTTGGACCAAATGACTTCTTTTCTCATTATAGGGAAATTTAAGCACTGTGGCGCTGATGGAAATGACTTTCAGGCTGCCGCAGTTAAAAAAGGAATGACCAATTTCAGCTCGGAGAGCCCTCTGGCCCTCTTTTCAGCCAACAGTAACTCATTCAGTCATGGTCTGAATAGCAACAGATTAGCCCTGCAAATCAGAAGATAAGATGTATGTTTTGAATCTAATCTCTGCTTTGTTAGCGGCGTGATTATGAGAGTCTCAGAGGATCATCTGTAGTGCTCGATTCTGACAACAGACCGGATGAAGTGATCAACAGTGATGTTGGCTTGATTACATGACTGGAATTTGGTTTTGTCCAATAATTATGAACAAATAAGTGGTTTTATCTCACCGTATGGTTGAACA